CCTTTAGATATCTCCCACTGCTTAGCTTGGTTTAAATATATTTTTGATATAACATAGAAGATTATTGAACTATATTTTTGCCATTTCCTCCTCTGCACTTGGATCGCCAGCAGCATCAGTGGTAAATTTCATTACAACCAAGCAATGAAATTTCTATTCCTTGTGTAAAGAGCTTTCTGTGGACCATGAAATTATTCACTTGTATGGAGTATTGAGAGGTATTAACTTTTCTGAAGTACCAGTAATGCGAAATTCAAGAGTAATGGATGTAGAATACCCACACTGTGCTACTGTTCAGGTCTTGTGAATTTTGTTGTTATTCTCTGTGTTGGCTATGTTGGGATGGATGAGAAACTGACTGAATTTATGGATCAAGATTACAGAGAGGGTAGGGACAGTTGACATTATAGATTTGCTACAGGCCACCTGACCAAGATGACCGTGTGGGTGAAGCCCTCCATGGACAGATAGGAGAGGTGTCGGGTTCACAAGCCTAGGTCCTCATGGAGGACTTCGACCACACCAAAATCTATTGGAAAGATAACACAGAAAGACATAAGCAATCCAGGAGGTGCCTGGATTTGTTGGTGATAACTTATCCAACAAGGAGACAATGAGGTGAGATGAAATGCTGGACCTCATTCTCACCAAAAAGGAGGGGCTGGTGGGGCATGTGGAGCTCAAGGACAGCCTTGGCAGCAATGACTGCGAAAGGATGGGGGTCAAGATCCTTAGGGAAGTTAGAAAGTAGTGCAGCAAGCTGGCTACTCTGGACCTCAGGAGAGTGCATTTTGGCCTCTGGGATCTTCTTGGTAGAGTAGTGTGGGATCTAATCTTGGAGGGAAGTGGGCCTGAGAAAACTAATATTCAAGGATAACCTCCTTCAAACTGGAGGCTCAATGCATCCCAACAGCGAGAATGTTAGGCCATGTGCTAGGAGATCTGCCTCGATAAACAAGGAGTTCCTAGAGAAACCCAATCATAAAAAAAGAAGCTTGCAGAGGGTGGAAGGAAGGAAGGACGAGTAGCGTGGGAGAAATACAGACAAATTATCTGAGCAGTCATGGATCAGAGCAGTAAAGCTAAAGCCCTAGTAGAATTAAATGTGACCAAGGATATCAAGGGCAACAAGAAAAGCTTTTGTAAGTATGCTAATGATAAAGGGAAGACTAGAGAAAACATGAGTGCTCTCTAGGAGGAAACAGGATATCTGGTTACTTCAGTCTTCACCAGCAAGTTCTCTACCCACTCCAACCAAGCCATAGAAAGCAAAGGCAGGGACTGGGAGCATGAAGAATTACGTGCTGTAGTAGAAGATAAGGTCTAAGACATCTGTGGAATGTGAAGATGCACAGGTCCATGGGACCTGGTTCAGATGAATCTGTGGATCCTGAGGGAAGTGGCTAATGAATTTGCTAAGCCACTATCTATTGTATTTTAAAGTCATGGCAGTCCCCCACAAAGTTACCACTGACTGGAAATGGGAAAACACAACCTAGATTTTTAAAAGAGGAAAAAAATAAGAGAATTTACATGGCAGTCAAAAATCATGGAGCACATCCTACTGAAAATGGTGCTGAGGGACACCAAACAAAGAAGTGTTTAACGATGGCCAGTGTGGCTTCACTAAGAGCAAATCGTGCATGACAAATTTGGTGGCCTTTTGCAGTGGGGTTAAAGCATTGGTGAATGAAGGAAGAAAAAACTGATGTTATCAACTTGAAGTTGTGCCAAATGTTTGATGCTGTCCTGATCAGTATCCAGCTGGTCTCTAAAGTGGAGAGAGACAGATCTGATGAACCAAACCACTCGGTGGATAAGAGCTGTTGTCATTGGCTTGATGTCCAAGTGAAGACTAGTCATTTGATGTTCCTCACGGCTTGCTAGTGTTGAGACTGGTATTGTTTAACATCTTTGTTGGTGACAAGGACGGTGGGATTGAGTGCACCCTTAGTAAGTTTGCTGACAACACCAAACTTTGTGTTCCAGTTTAAACGTTTGAGTGTTTTGTTGCCATCCAGAGGTTACCTGGACAGGCACGAGAGGTGAGCCTATGTGTACCTCTTGAACTTCAGCGAGGCCAAGTGCCTCACTACACCTGTGTGGGGCAATCCCAAACACAAATACGTATTGGATGGAGAGTGAGAGCAATCCTGAAGAGAAGGATTTGGAGCTGTTGGTTGATGAGAGACTCAACATGAGCCAGCAGTGTCTGCTCATAAACCAGAAGGCTAATCATATCCTATGCTGCATGGAAAGAAGCATAGCCAGCAGGGCAAGGAAGGTGATTCTCTACTGCACTCTTATGAGAAGAGAAGCTGGATGCCCCGTTTCTGGAAGTGTTCAAGAACACGTTGGATGGAGCTTTGGGCAGCCTGGTGTAGTAGGAGGTGTCCCTGCACAAGGAATAGGGGCTAAAACTAGATGATCTTGAAGGTGTCTTGCAACCCAAACCATTCTGTGACTCCTTTTTTTCAATTTCCCTTTTTTAGATCTATAGAATTCTTCAGATTTCTTTGCTTTAGATTATTCAGAAGAATTTGTTTTACATGGTTTTAAATGCTTATAATGCTAGCATCTGACTTACTTTTCCTTGTTCTGTTCGACAAATATATTTGAATAGTGTGCTTTCTCCTTTAAGACAAGTGGTATTGAATTAGCTGATTATATGAAATATGAGTATTAGAAGCTCATCTGTAATGCTGCAAAGCATCTAGCACATAGTCTAATATTCTAAAAGAAGTTAAAACAAAGCATAAATTAAAGATGTGAACAACTGAAAGAAAGCAAAATACATCTTTTTAGGGATGAATCAGCCTTCATCCCTGAACTGTTGCTCAGTTCCTTATAGAATAAGAGGAACTCTGGGTATTTTATTTCACTGACTAGAGTGGTTTTGTTGACTGGCTCCCTTTTATCTTAAGAACTGCTCTGCCTTTGTGGAGCAGGAGAAGGAAGAGGGAAGCCTTAGGGAACAAGGTCTGTAAGGAAGGGAAGGAAGAGGGGACATATGGAGGAACAAGTGCTTGGAGGTAGGGGCTAAAAGTTTTATGGATAAATGAGTGAAGAGGTGTAGGGCACATCTTGCTTGTCATCCCTCTACCCACTGAATCGTCCTGAAATTTGTGATTTCAGCCACGGTGTTTTCCCTCTGCCCCTGCTTCAGTTCTCCTTACTAAGAATCTTCAAATATAATGGTGTGGTTTTCTGTGGTTTTTTTTTTTTTTTTTTTTTTTTTGGGTTTTTTTTTTTTTTGGTTGTGCCCTAGATAACAAACATGAGCACAGGGAAAAGCTGTTGGCTAACGTGTTCTTTGGAGCAGGTGTACTGACTTTCATTGGTGCTTACTGAAGTCCATTCATTGAGAAGAAAGCTCTCCTATCGGTTGGTTTTATATTTTAAGATTCTGGTCTAGTCAATGAAGTTTGCAATCTGGCTTCATCTCTGCATGCTTGCCCTAGACTTATAGTTTTAACGACAGGAAGGAAAATTGCTGTCTGATCAAGATGTGAGATGGCTTTTGTCACTGATGAATCTGTACTTTGCTTTCCACAATGTTCCCCTCCCTTTTGCTTTTGTTGCATTCTCTTTCTTCCTGGGTCTTGCCTGTGTAATTATTCCTTTTGAGTGTGCTTTCCATACTGCCTGCTGGTTTGATGTGACACTGAAGGGCCTCATCTTCCATGCTGAGTTCTTTTATGTTTATGCTATATTAATTTTCTGGTTTTGCATGTTCTACAACCATCTGTATGAGTGGCTTGTAATCTATGTTCTAAAAATGTTCTATTTCAATTTTGAACAGGAAGAATTTAAATTCTTTTTGTCTTTTCCTCTAAACCTCTCTTTATGCATAGTCAGTTTCTGCTCTGTTGGTGAGAGTGGAATGCTTATACTCAATTTTTGCCACTAATTTTCTTTGTTCTCTCTGATCTTAGCTTCACAGATGCTGTAATAACTACTTGTCATTTAGTGTGGTAACTTTGATGTGCTTATTGAATGATATCTCAAAATACTCATCTTTAGGATTTATTGAAACCTCAATAGTATTTGCATAGCAGTTCAAAGATGTAAGGCTACTGATAAGGTTGAAATCTTGTCAAAAATCTTTTGTGCATCAAACTGAACTGGAACTTTCTTTTGTGTTGACAAATGTAACATTGCTGTTCATATCTGCTCAAAAGGCTGTTACAAGGATGATTCAGTCTCTAACACTGAAAACATCTTAAAATTTCAGTAAAATGTAGTTAATACCAAACCAAGGAAAAAAAAAAAACCAAACAACAAATGCAAAACCCAAGCCCAAACACTTTTCCAAAGAAGCTTTAGTATCTTTTCAAAAAGTAAAGTAAGAATCATTGTCTTATATTGGTGATAAAGCTTTAACTTATTCATTAAACTGTGAATTTATACTACCTGTTTTTAACAGCCTTTAAGTTTTTATGCTTCTAAGTGAATTTTTAAATAATTGGGACACAGAAAAGTGCTGAGCTCAGGTAATAATTGAAATGGAAAATAAATAGAACAGTGTCTTAGTCATGCTAACTTGTCTTATTAGTAAAAAGTAACATCACTGTATATCATTATACTCTTTTACAATGTCAGGGATGCAGCCATTTCAGACTTAGGAGAAACAGTTTAGAACTGTGCCTTATATAAATCTACTTTTTTTTCTTCCATATTCTACATGTAATGGTTATGAGGAACTCTTCATAAATCCTTAGTTGGTTTTGTAAATACAATTTTCCTCAAAATTTTTTCCATGAAATTCTTATGTTCTGTGTGGTATCTTCATAATTTAGTGGAATACTTATTTGCTACTGAAGTGCCTAGCAACTTACCATTATATGTATCCTTAAGAAACCACTTTAATTAAGGCAGTTAAGAAACAGGTAAGTTACTACAGAAAAATCAGAATGTTGAGACTCCAAGAATAATACCCATCTTAATTAGGAGTACACAGAATGGGGAAAATGTGTGAAATATTCTGTTTCTGTTTTCAGCTGGACAGATTTGCCAGTATAAGAATTCCAGGGAGCAAAAAGGAAAGACCTGCTCTGCCACATATGAAGCAGTCACACTCTACAGATGGGTCATCTACACCTACTGATGTGGAAGATTTTGTTCCAAAACCCCTGTCAGAAAGAGAAATCATAGCGCTCTTTGAAAAAATGATGGTAGGTGTCTTATACTGACTTTTTTCACTGAAGAATGCCGGCATGCATTATGATCTTCACCTGAATTACTATTTTTGTTGTTCTCTGGACCATTTCCAAAGAAAATGAAGCCGTTTAATTTTTGACAAGATTTGTGTGCCTGCAATACTTAATATGGAAACGAAAGGCTTCTGATTATTAGAAGTGAGATTCTGCAACAGGTTTTGATGAGGAGAAAGAAGGGGAATCCTGCTTGCTTTTAAAATGACTTGAAACATGAAGGGGCTTTATGCCTTTGAATGCCACAGCAGGGTTTCGTTCCAATCTAATATTTGCACAAAAAAGACTTGGAATTCTTGCCCCTAAGTCAATGTTTTCTCTACAAGGTGCATGCAGTCTTAGTGTAGTTTCTTCTGTAGCTGTCATCATTGATCTGCTACAAACGAGTGGTCACTTGCCAGAAAGATCATGTGATGTTGGTACCACTTCAACTGGTGTTTTTTGTTTGGTTGTTTTTTTTTTTTGACACAGTTGATGATATTTTAGGGAATGGAAGATCAACTGTTTAAAAGTAAACAGCCTTTAGGGGAAAGAGTGAGATTGGAAAAGCAGAAATTCACAGAATTTCTTCACAGAAATTAATAATTACTTGTCTCCTGTGAAGCCCACATCAGCTACTATTGACTAGGTTGTGGAGTAAATTAAATGTAGTCTTAAAGGCGTGCTCTCATAGAATTTATAATTCCTAGTACTCTTTAGTGTTTAGTTTTGAAGGTATATTTGTACTACCGTTGAGAATTATGACTGAGAGAATAGTAATTTTTGTAATTTCGTTGTTGAAGTCAAGCTTTCTGGAGATACTTTTGCTGAAAAATATCAGTTGGTCAGTACTGAAGGGAACAGCTTCTAAAATCAGAAACCTCACTGAGTACATTATGCTACTTTTTGGGTTTTCTTGGATAAATATTGCTTAATTTTTCCCACATTGTGTGCACTAATGTCCTGTTGGTGGTTGAAATTATGAAAAAGTTTCATTTTTGCTCACGGAATTATGAAAGAATACATAATACCAGAGAGTCAAGGATGATTACTAGCTCCTTTCATTTGTGATTATTGCTGTTAGGAAGGTATTCATGTGAAATGATTGACTCATATTTTCCAAAGAGGTATCGCCTACCTACAGAATAACTTAAAATGATTTGAGGGGAAATAAAAGATTCGAGTTGAAACCTAAGCCACAGTTGACGTGCCTCCTTAAGCAGTTGAATACTTCTTATTTGTAAAATTCTATTGTTTTGGTGTTTCATATCATAGAATCATATCATAGAATGGCCTGGGTTGAATAGTACCACAATGATCATCTAGTTTGAAACCCCCTGCTATCTGCAGGGTTGCCAACCACCAGACCAGGCTGCCCAGAGCCACATCCAACCAACCTGGCCTTGAATACCTCCAGGGATGGGGCATTCACAACCTCATTGGCCAACCTGTTCCAGTGCATCACCACCCTCTGTGTGAAAAACTTCCTCCTAACATTTAACATAAACCTCCTCTGTCTTAGTTTTAAACCATTCCTCCTTGTCCTATCACTATCCACCCTCATAAACAGCCATTTTCCCTTCTGTTTATATGCTCCCTCCAAGTACTGGAAGGCCACAATGAGGTCTCCTTGGAGCCTTCTCCAAGCTAAACAATCCCTGTTTCCTCAACCTTTCCTTATAGGAGGGATGCTCCAGCCCTCCGATCATCTTAGTGGCCCTCCTCTGGGCTCATTCCAACAGTTCTGCGTCTTTCTTGTGCTGGGGGCCCCAGACCTGGATGCAGTACTCCAGATGGGGCCTCACAAGAACCAAGTAGAGTGGGACAATTACCTCCCTCTCCCTGCTGGCCACCCCTTTTTTAATGCAGCCCAGAACACAGTTGGCCTTCCAGGCTGCAAGCACACACTACTGGCTCATGTCCAGTTTCTTGTCCACCAAATCCTTCTCTGCAGGGCTGGTCTCCAGGAGATCTTCCCCCAGTACATATAAATACATAATTAAGTATAAGATTGCCCCAACCCCGTAGTTCCCCGGGTCTTCCTTTCTCCCTTTCTTAAAAATGGGAGTAACGTTTCCCTTTTTCCAGTCACCAGGGACTTCACCAGACAGCCATGATTTTCCAAATACGATGGGGAGCGGCTTGGCAACCACATCAGCTGTCTCATTCAGAACCCGAGGATGTTTCCTTTGTTTATATAAAAAAAAACAAACCAAAAAAAAGCAAGAGATGACTTCTTACTGCACACACAGACAGAATATAATATTTCCTATGAATGAACTTGCCCTTACATCTAGGATTATGCAATATGTTTTGTACTGATAAGTTTCTTAGTTTCTTGCCTTTTTTTTTTTTTTTACAGTATGGTTAGATGTTGGATATTTTCTGCAACAAAAGCAAGGCCTTTGTTTTCACTTCATTACTCAATAAGTTCAGGAGTTTTATTTCCAGAAAACTGAAAAGAGCAAGACTACTTTAAACAGAGGAATGTAATAGCTACAGGCAAACATGAAACTTTTTTTAATTTAATTTCTCCATCATATAGCATATAAGCACATTTCAATTTTATTGTGAAAGAAAATCTATGGTATTTTACAAGCAAGGTACTGAAGATGTGATAAGTTTCAGGAAAGGCTAAAAATGACCTAGGCATGTTTTTTTTTGTTTTATTTGCAAAATGCTTTACTGAATATTTTGGTTTCAGTGTTCTTAACATTCCTGTTTATGTAAGCTTTAAAAATACAGTTGAAATATTGAATAAAATCCAGCTAGCTCTATTAAATATACATGTAAAGTATATTTTTGTTTGAGGTTAGTATTGCTATACATCTGTATACCTGTGGAAAGAATTTTGAGGCACAAAATCCTGAAGACATTTATTGGAACTTGCAAGAAAAAAAAAATTGTCCGTTAATATCAAGATGGACTTTATTTTAGTTGTTAGAATATGGCTTGTCACGTGCACATCATAAAGGATATGCTGTCTGGTAATAAGAGTCTTCATAGATGTGTTGTTCAGCATTTAATAGATGGTAGTGAATTAAATTATACTATTGTATGAAATGAGAGATACCTGTACATGATAACAAGGAAAAGACTAGAGAGAACAGTAAGGTCAATCTGACAATTTTTTCTCCCTAATTTTTAGCCCAAGGCATAAAGATTTTCATGCACCTGTTTAGAATTTACAATTGTAGTAAAATTGTGGTACTTTACATGCTTTGAAATAATTTTTACTTATAAAAAAATTTTTGAAGAAGTAAATTGGAAAGAACTTCCTTATCAGTTTCTCATTTTAAATGCCTTTCACTTTGTCCCTAAATCCTTTTTTCCCAAACCATACATTAATGTCTGAACTCCCTGATGAATTTTAGAAGTCCTGTAGTCCTGTCTGATTATGTAATTTCCTGCTAAAAATCTTCCTGGCTAGCAAACAAACAAACAAACAAACAAACAAACAAAACCACCCTAAAAACTAAAAATTAAATATTTAGCCTTCCATCTTTAGTACTTTGATTTTTGACATCCTAAAGACTTCACCTTGTGTGGTTGATTGTTCTCATTCTCATCCTGAAAAAAAAGCTGCAGCTGCTTATGAAAGCTTTAATAAAGACAAGCAGCTTTAAATATATTTTCTGTTTTTATTTTTTTCCATAATGTTAAATACAGAAAACTTACCCCCACCTTGTTTTGTTCCCAGACATATGAAAGTCTTATACATTATCCCAACAGTGTTTTAAAAGCACACATTTTGGCTTGATTTTTTTTTTAAATTTTTTTGTGCAGCATTTTTGAATGAATTAGCCAAGTTGCCTATCATTAAGTAAATCATAGTGGTTTATTGTTTGCTATCACTATCAACAAAAATCTAGAAAATGTAGCATTTATTTTCAAGATAATGCCCCAACATTTGGTTTACTAAGAGGCAAAATGCAGTATTCAGCTATTGCACAAAGCAGTTGTCAATTTTTTTCATGGATTCTGGTAGTCAGGAGGGCAAACACAGTGCTGATCTGTTTCTTCCAGATCCAGACAAATACTAAAATAAAAGATTTAAGAATATTTGAGTTCTTCTCAAGGGAGTTCTTCTCATGTAAAATGGATAGGAACTGTAGTAATATGAAGAAAAATAGATGGATGAACTGTTGAGATTTACATAACTGACGTGTTATGTAAGTGTACGCTGTGACTATCAAAATGAAGAAAAAGGCATGTGTCAAGAGTATGTGTCCTTATGTACTGCTAGAATTTTGTTCTTGGCATAAGATGATAGTTTCTCTCTGAACTTTTTTGATCAAAGAAGTACAGCACTTTGAAGAATAGAACAGCTATGAGAAAAGATTGAAGTATGTGTGGCCTCCTTTCTTTCAGCTTGTTTAGACAAACTTGTTTTGCATTAATTTTTTGATATGGGAGGTAGCATGAATGCATGAGCTAGTTGCCACAGAGGCAAAAGACTGTGATATTACCATATTTTAAGTCAAAGAACTTTTTTCAGCATGCACCCTGTACTTGTTTGGCACTAGTGGTAAAAGCAAAGAAAAAAAAAGCTTATTTTACTAAGTGAGAAAACTTTCTCTAGTCCTTCAGGAAAGGAAATGATGACATTTCTGAGCAGAAAAAGAAAACAAAATCTACATGAAATTGCCCTAATTTTGCTGTGAAGCAATTCAGCTTAAAGGGTCTAGCATTTTCTGCAACTTCTTACAGCTCAGATTTGTAACAGCTAAATATTTCTAGAAATTGTGGTTGACCTTGTCCTGTTCCATATGAAAACTGGGGAAAGACAAGGAAGTTCAAGTTTCAGTGATCTTTAAATTTTGATGTTCAACTTGCTTTCTTAAAATTAAAAGAATAATTTGTTTGCTTTCTGTCACTGGTTCTTCAGTAGGTGAAATGAGCTTTGATATTGAGATTGTGAGACAATACCCCATCAGTGGGCAACGAGTTTCAGCTGAAAATAACTGCAGTAATTTGTCCTAAGTTTGTTTGACCATAATAATGCTAAATGTATACATAGCTGTGTGTATATATTGTTTCCAAATGCCATTTTAACCTACAGCATGAAAGGAAATCTCTGTTGTCACAAAATGTAGAACTGATCGTAACAGTCAGAGCATTCCTAGGCTTGGAACACTAGGAGTTCATGAGTCAGAACTGCCACTGAATAGCTGCTCTGTGGCTTTGAATGGGGTTCTGCATACAAAAATGCTGTTTTTGACTCTTGGGTTTATGTTTGCATGAAATGTGACAGTGGTTTTGATAGCAGTTGAAGGTGTTGTTTTAGTGATGAAGACATCAAGAATTTGGTCCTCGCCTTTTGTAGAAGTGAATATTATTCTGTGAACTACCCTTGGGAAAAAGGAGATTGCATTGCCCAGCTTTATATGTTTCAATATTTTAAGTGATTTTTGAGAAGAGGTTTTGCTACTTCTGTTTGTGATGCACTCGCTTATCCTGGCTCAGTTGCTTTTTTTTTTTTCAATTTGATTTGCTGAGGAAGGTAGATACACTTCTTTGTGATTTTTAATAACATCTAACTTAGCTATTTGTATAAGAACTTTCAGTTGCTTAGGTTCATGTTTTTGTGTCTTTACTTTTTATAATCAGTATTTTATGGTTAAACAACTATTGCTTGATGCCAAAACTTCTTTTATTTCTCTTTCCATTCTAGGAAGATATGAATTTAAATGAAGACAAGAAGATGCCGTTGAGAGAAAAGGATTTTAATACCAAAAAAGAAATGGTGATGCAATACATTAGCACTGCTTCAAAGTCTGTACGTACATTTTGATGAAATATATGAAAAATGACTTAACATTTACCTTCCTTACTACTAGAGAGGAAAAGTAATGTACGCATATTACTTTCTTTTGATTAACTTATTTCTCAGATAAAAACATTTTTAAGGGACATTATCTCATAAGTTTACAAGCTGCAATAAAAGATACCTAGTGCAGGGCCAAACTGAACGGATATTGTTTAAGATGAGCCTGTGAGAGCTACTAGTCCTTCTGTAGCATAAAAATTCTTTAGTACTGGAAGATTGGGAAGACAGTCAATTTTTCTTTTTTAGAGATATTTCACAGAAAATCAGGAAACTTCAGGCCACAGATACAACACCCCTGGTATTTCTTAGCCCAGAACAAATTACCTAGGTTTATACATTGTTGATACTCCAAGCCTCCACAGTCGTTCTAAGAGCTAAATTGTTTGATCTAAAAAGTGACTAATAGTAGAATATGGATGGCTGTGCAGAGTTGCTGCATCAGTGTATGTTACTGAAACCTCACCATATTGATGATAGTGTTAAGACTCCCTTTCTTGAGAGAGAAGATTTTGTGCTTGCTCTTGATTTCTAGCACTTACTGCTTGCAAAGAACTGAAGCCTGTAGCTGATGAATAGGTTTCATTGATCCTTTCAAATGTCATTTGCAATAAAGATTTTTTTTTTTGTTATCATCATGTATTTTTTGCTAGTGGAGCCTATAGCACTATGCACAGAGCAGCCATACAGGGTACTCTGTTGAAGAAGACAGGTCAGTTTTCCTCCTCCAGGATAGTGGTTTGTTCCAACACACTTTTGTTTTGCCCCAGCAATATTGCTTCCATTTTCCCCTCCCTGACTTCCCACCTGTCCTCCTTGGTGCTATCAGAGACCTCTGATGAATAATTCATGAAGAGAAACTCTTGTATTTACTGAACTATGTTACTACTGCTATATCTTTACTAGACATAGCATTCAGATTTCTGAGGAACTGGGAGGAGCTTTTCTGTGATGTATAAATTCAGCTGTTTGATACAGTAGTCCTGCAGATGAATATGATTTAGTGTTGGTGCTGTTGGGACTGGAAACTCATGGTCACCCACCATCCTCCTTGCAAACTCTTTGTTGCCAGCATGTTTTTAAGTGCCTCAAGTGTACTGGACGCACCAGCTGCCCTCTATATCTTAGGGGAATAGTGCACTTGCACGCTGTACTGCACTTAGCAAACTTTCAGTGTACCTTCACTCGAGGAAAGGGGTGTGAGTTCTTTTCAGATGAGCTGAAATGCTGAATATGTGCCTGAATGTTATGTATAACTGATCCCATCTCACGTCTCTGTTCCTATTAATGAGACACATACTAAGCTTGTACCAATCTTATGTTGGTACAAAGTATATTCACTTACAACCCTTCTACAGAGTCCTCACCAGGCTTCATTTAAAGCAGTTGTTATTATAAACACTACTGAAATGGAGAACAGGTCCCTACTGTAATAAATCACTGAATATGAAAGAGCCTTTAGTGATGAGTGGATTCTACTGTAACTGAAGCTTCATCATTGGCTTCAGTATCAGGATTTCTCTTTCTTGGAAGTGCAGAACACTTTTCCAATGTTTACAAAGAATGGCTCTATTACTGGTATATCTAGAGATCACACTGGTTTTGGCAGATCTATATATATTCAGTTGCTTATTTATGTATAGAATACTGTAACCTACCTCCTCACATATATGACATGTTTAGAATGAATCCATCGCTTCAGGACCAAGGAATGTACTTCTGAGTAACTTAAGTTCTGCAGACAGGCATAGTTCGATACTCCTTAATTTGTTTCCTTTTTACTTAGAGAGTTCTTCAACAGGTAGCTAAACAAAAGCTTCTGTACATGTTCGTAAACATGCTGTCATCATCTGCCTTTATTAATGTTTTAAGAAGCTCCTTGTAGAAGAATTTTTGAGCATGTAAAGCCTCTTTGTCTGGGGAACTTACTAAAAAATTTGGACAATAATATAATTTACATGCTTGAATAATTCTTCTGAAGCACTTCAGAATATTCTGCTATTGTGTATTTGTTTTCTTGTAATGTACAGTGTTTAGATGAAGCCTGATTTCTTCCTTTAAAATATCAGCTGAGAGGTATGTATCACATACTGCTTCAAACCATAAAGGTTTGAAAATCTTAAGTGAAATTTTTGTTTCCTGTGGTATCATGTCTTATTTATCAGGAAGCATTCAGAATCAGAGAATCATAGAATGGGATTGAAAGGGACCCCAAGGATTATCAAGTTCCAACCCCTCTGCCATAGTCACGGCCACCAGCCTCCAGAAGAGGGAACATAGTTGTATTAAAAGGCTACCTCATCTACCAAAGTAAATTTCACTTCTCTGTATGTGAAACATACACAGACTGGATTTTTAAAGTGAGTTTTCTTCGTAAGATTTCATTTTTGTTGTTCAGCTTACTCCCTTGTAATGTTGTAACTGAATTAATTAATGCTGACTTCATACTGCATCTGCTCACAGACCAGTTGTTCTTCAGTTGAGCAATTAAATTTTGAGAGGCACTGATGCCTCAAGATATTTCCTGTTTCTCGGTTAATTCAAGCATTTTGAACTTAAGCAGCTTTTCCCATGCAGAAATATAGCTAATATAATCAGTTTCACAATTGATACCAGCTACAGTTCTCATTTTACTTGAGCAGTGGCAGATGCATCATATTCTTATTAAGTAGCAGAACTGTGTTATAACTGTGAATAATAAGTGGTACTTGGTACTGTGGATATGTTGTGCACACACTCATACAGTTCATTGGCGTCATCTGCACAAGATAATGTTCAGGTGGGGAAGTGAATGTGAAACAGTGTCTGAATGTTGATGCAGGTCTCCATCGCTTATGATGGTGTCTTTGGATGGGTCAGATGAGACTTCCTGAGTTGTCATTCTAATAAACTTTTGTTGTCTGGCTGGGTTCATTTTCCCTGCGACCTCTCTACATGTTGCCATTACTTTCAAAACACCTTCTAATTATCTTAACTGTATTATCTTAACTCAACTCCATATGACTTTCCTACTTGACCATTTCTGCATTCAAAGAAGGCTGTTTTACCAACTATTTATAAGTATCTTAGCTGTATCCAGCTTGGTCAGTTTTACAGCAAGAACTGCTGGGATATGTCAATGGAAATGACAAGTTCTCCACCCAGGATATTAATCCATATGCTTAGGCATACAAGTAGTGCTTATCAATTAGTCTGTGCACAGCAGGAGCTGCCAGGAGAGTTTCTGGGACTTTTTGAAATTCCCACGTGTAGGAGAACTTCTGTAACATTTAGTTAAATGTTTTGTTGTGACGGCTGCTAGGATTTCAGTTGGTCATCTTGTCTCTAGCCACTCCATTATCTCATCCATGCAGAGAATAGCTGAGGAGATCCAGAACTGCACAGGGAACTGAATGCATGCATTTGCACACAGCTGCACCCCTGACCCACTGTTACACCAGAGATGTGACTTAGATTACCTACGCATGTCACAGCTGTAACTCAAATTCCATAGACTCAGGAGTATGTACTGTCTTGTCTTAAAATGTTTGGGCATTTATTGTACCAGGATGGATGTGTTCAGTATGCACGCTGTTGAATAATAAAACAGCAATCCTTGTCACTGATCCCCCTTAGGCATTTAATTTGTAGAGTTTTATACAACATTCTTTTACCTTTCATATTCTATCAAATCTGTTATGTGCTTCTTAATGTTATGAGTTTTTTTAATTTGTTTTTTGAGATCTTTTACATTTGGCTTAGAGATTCTCTTCAGTTATTTCCTCATCTCTGTGGAGCTCTAACACAGCCATACTTATAGGGAAGCTCAGCTGCTTGCCTGATGGAAATGTAAGTTACTATCTTGTTGAAGAGGATGATTTTGGAAGCACTTCAGTTTTAGATCCAGGGCTTGAAAAGATTTTCATGGAATATTCTTGCCAATTAGATGTATTTTTAAGAAGGTGGTGTGTTGTTCCTAACATTACCGGTGTATACTGGTGGTAACTCTTGGATCCAGAAAGTATCTGAATAGGTGTTGTGTGAAAAAGACGAAGTAGTTGGCAGAAAATGAATCTCCCTGCATTCCAGCTTGTTCTCAGCTATCCTTGGGGCCAGGGACAGCTGAGCTTAGATCCTGAGTGATGTTCAGTTTGATGCTGTAAGTCTGGTCGTGTTCACTATCACAGTAAAAAATTCACAAATAATGCATTGCCCAAGTTGTCCGGTTGTGTTCAAATGAGCTCTCATGACCACCTTTAAGGAATTTGGCTAGGCCCACTAAGAACTCCTGTGGCTGGATTGAGTAGGTCAGTTCAACTCCCTTGACTATCTGGTGATGCTCTTCCACTGTGGTCAACTGAGTTCCCATCAAGAGCTCTGCAAGTCAGATTCTGACTGTTTGGACTCCAGCATATGTCAGTGCACCTGGGAAGTAATAATCGCTTGCATTTCCTGCTGAGGCACTCCATGAGATCCTTCTCTGCATGTTTCTGCTGCCTGTTGAGATCCACCTGAATGTCAGTGAGCCATCTAATCTGTCAGCCACTCTTACTAATTTTTAATCTCATCTCTTTCAGAATTTTTTTTTTTTGTGCTTTGCTTCCAGGAACAGGAAAGAATAACTTTCAGCACTTAAACTCTTGACTTAAGCCCAATCGGCCTCACAGTATAACCAATATAATAATAAAGTATTATTAAATAACTCTCTTTAATGCTGTATCATAACTATACCTCAGCTCCCAGCAAAATAAGTCTTTCCATTGGGTCAACCCAAATATAGGTTGCATGCCTCATCCCCATCTGCCCTGAAAAAAAAAGTGTGAAGGAGTGAAGACTATTAAGAGTATAGTGAATGCTTCTTAGGTTTTTAATTTTAACTGCAAATTCTATGGCTGCTTTTGTTGAGGGTGACTGTTGTTTTGTTTAAAACACTGGATATTCTGTGTCCTCCCAAAAGGTCATTAATATTTTGAATTTACTTTAAGCAACATTTCTCATTTAATGATTTAATGATGCGTTGAGGCAATTGTCTTTTAGCTTATGTTGCTTAAAATAGGAAATACAGGAAATATTTTGTCTATATAAAACTGCTTTTATAGCACTGCATTAGCTTGTCATAGCATTTTCTTTTCAGTGCCCTCATGTCTCCATTTGCCTCCCCACCCACCAAAAAAGACCAGAATCCAAAAAGCAAAATTTGGGTAAAATTCTTATTTTAAAATGTCATGTTATTGCATCAGCAGTCATGTTTGTATTGGGCTGGGATTTATCTTTCAGAACTTAAGTTGCTGCTTAAAGTGTTCAAGTCCTTCCTTTTTTTTTACTTTGTTTGTTTGTTTGTTTGTTGTTTGTTGTTTATTTTCCTGAGGTGTTTACTTCATCCCTTAGAACCAAGGTAGTCTTTTTTTTCTATAGTTCCAGCCTCATACTGTTGTGCTGCCAGGATCTTGAAGAAAAAAGTGTTTTACAGCATGTTACTGCAGTGATATCCTGAATACTCTTCAGATGCACTGGTTATTCAGTCTATATTCCCATAAGAATGCCATGACCTACCTGGATGCCTGTCCTGTGATCATCTCAGATTTTTTTTTTTTTTTTGTATTGAATATTAAAAATTAAAATGTTTGCAAATGCACAGAATTAATTTGTTACAAAAACACTATTTCACCAAGTGTGCATGATGCATTTTTATGTTTGCTGTCTGCTACTTTTGACTACCAATCATAAACTTAATCACGAATTGGCAAAAATGTAATCAGCATTCAACATAAACAGTGTATGGACAACAAATAGTTGCAGACTTAGGTCTAAAATATAATGTTTTCCCACATTTTATGGATCAAAACCAAAGTTTAGTCATCAATGGTTTATTCAAGTGCTGTACATGCCAAATAAAAAATGAATTTGTTTTCTGTTTTTCAGGGAAGTCTCAAGAACAGTCGAAAGATTTCACCACAAGAATTTATCCAGGAATTAAAATCCGGATCAACAGATGAAAGACTAGTGACTTGCTTAGAATCACTTCGTGTGTCCTTAACTAGTAATCCTGTCAGGTAATGCAGAATTTGAACATCATTAACAAATAGTGCAAAGATTGATCACATTCTTATTTCTTCATGGATTAAAATGAATGGATCTCTAGATGTGCACATTTCAAGGTTTTCCACTTAATGAATGTGTATGTTTTAATGAATGATTATATCTTTTTTTTTTTTTTTTTCCTGCATTGATTATATACCTTCTGCAAATATTGTTTTCGTAAAGCATATTTTTAATTAACAGAGAAGATAAGAATCAAGTGATAGTGAATAGTTTTATCCTGGTACTTTAAAACAAAACAATAACAAAGGAAACAAACTGAAATTACAGCTTATGGCTCTAAGGAAAGAATCTCTAGAGCAAAATATATCCTCTGATCTTGATCACTGTTCTTGAGGTGAATAAATGGGGACACAAATATCTCATAGTTACAAACAGTTCATGAAAAGTGATTTGGTGATCTATTTATTCTCCTTTCATATAGTAGTTGCAAGAAACTTAGATAATTCCATTAAGAGAACTTTTTAAAAATGCACTGAGAATGGAACACTGACAGCTACCTTGGTATTTTATCAGGCTGACAAAAAGCTGTGTTGCCTCCAGGTATAGGGCAAGTAATTTGTTATTCTGTTGTGGAAGCAAAGGAAAGGACAATAATAACACAATGGTATCTTACACACTGAATCATTCCCAGCCTCTTCAACTGCTGGGCATGTGATAAAGTGTCTGCGTACAATTTCACCTAATACAAAATATGGTAAGAAACATCAAGTAGGATCATCTTTAGATCAGATATAGCCAGTTATTCTCAAAATACTTGATCAGTGTTTGCCTGATCTGTTTCAGAACAAACCATCCTGGCTGAGAAAATCTATTTTAAAGTATTTATACATTTACATGAAAAACTTATATAAGCATCTGATCCTAGTGTATAATTTAAATAAGTCCACTATAGTTCTGTGTCTAGCAAATAGAAAGAACATTGTAATCCTCTCCTGCAATGAGAATGGAAATATTTTGTCTTTCAAAAGAGCTTCTGCATCTTACCTTGTATTATTTGCAGTAGAATGACTTATTATTTGTCACTGATGAGGTCCCACTATTATAGGTGTATCTGAAAATTCTGATTACTCTTCAAATGTAATATAAATAATAATAATAAAGTATTATGACAACAAATAAATTTTACTCCCAGATACATAATTTTTTACCCACTGCATTCAATAGTGTGTAAATAATAGAATCATTGAGGTTGGGAAACCAAGGTCATCTAGTCCAGTCACTGCCCCATCTTTACCATACTCATTATATCTTACCCCTAAGTAGCACATCTACCCTTTTCTTGAAAATTTCTGGGGAACATGACTCCACTACTTCCCTGTGCAACTTGTCCAATGCATTATCACTCTTCCCGAGAAGAAGTTTTTCTAATAGCTAACCTGAACCTCTCCTTGTGCAATGTGAGCCCATTACTACTTGTCCTATCACTAGTTATTTGGGTGAGGAGACCAATCGTAGTCTCACTATTAACTTCTTTTCAGATAGTTTTAGAGAGTGATGGGGTCTCCCCCGAGCCTTCTTTTCTCCAGTCTAAAGAATCCCAGTTCCTTCAGTCATTCTTCATAGGATTTGAGCTCCAGACCCTTCACCCATTTTGTTGCTTTTATAGTCTGGACAGGCTCCAGTGCCTCAGAGTCTCTCTTGTAGTAAGAGGCCTAAAACTGAACACTGTACTGTTCTGTACTGAACACTGAAGTGTGCAGCCCTACCAGGGCCATGCACAGAGAAAAGATCTCCCTGGTTCTGCTGGCTATACTATTTCTGATACAAGTCAGAATGTCACTGGCTTTCTTGGTCAGCTGAGTATGCTACTGGCTTGTGTTTACCCAGCTGCTGATTAATATCCCCAGATACTTTTCCTCCACCTAGCTTTCCAGTCACACTGCCCCAAGCCAGTAGTGTTGGCAGGCATACTGTGACCAAAGTGCATGACCTGACACTTGGTCTTGTTGAACTTCATCCACTGGACTCAGTCCATCAGTCCAGGCTCTTTGGATCCTCTTTATGGCCTTCCTGCAACTTAATGTTATCTGCAAACTTGTTGAGGTTGCATTCAATCTCCTCATCCAGATCATCAGTAAACATACTGGTCAGGACTGGCTCCAATATTGATCCCTAGAGAACACCTCTAGTGACTGGTTGCCAGCTGGATTTAACTCCTTTCACTGCCAATCTCTGAGCCTAGCTGTTCAGGCAGCTTTTTACCCTGTGAAGAGCATACCTGTCCAAGCCATGAGCTACTAGCTTCTCCAGGAGAATACTGTGGGAGACAGAAACAAAAACTTTACTAAAGTCCAGGTAGATTACATCCACAGTCTTTCCCTTGTCCACTAGGCAGGTCATCTGGTCATAGAAGGAGATGCAGGTCAAGCTTTACCTGCCTTTCATGAACCCATGCTGGCTGGACCTAATGCAATGGAGAAAACATATAAAGTAATGTTAGTGCAGTGAACAGTAGTTTTTTTTCCTAATTCTCATAAACTTTTTGGGGGTGTTGAACTTCTGATTTTTCAGAATGGATGTTTAATTTTTACATGAAAGACAATTTTTTTTTTTTTTATACAAGACAAGGGGTTCTTTAGCGTAAGCTTTTTAAGTAGAATATTGTAAAGAATTCACAGAAACTATTGCTGCGACACCCACAACAGAATCTTTGTTTTAGTGATTATAGAAACTATTACATCTGTATCATGCTAGGTATCTTATGTTCTAATTATGATTTTGTAATCAGTTAATAGTTAAATGTACTATGCTAATTTCATGGAAGAGAAAGAAAGAGTAGGGTCAAGAGAGACCTGTTATGAAATGAATTTCTGTCTTTTTTAGTAGTAAGCGATCTAAAATTTTATGACATTAGTATGGAAAGTTAACTAAAGTTGTCGGGAAATATTTCCTGTCACTTATGGGAAAAGAAGAGTCTTCAGGTATCCCCTTCCCTTAACTCACAGTGGCGTATAAAAGGCAGGACATGTCTTCTGTTATGACTACAAATGTTAGTGTCTGTGAAATGTAGGGTTATGTAATTGATCAAACATTGTTTCAGCAAGACCAAGAGGTGCTAGCCAGGGGATGGCTGCAGTAATGCAGGCAGTCAATGAAGAGTAGAACTTTGTTGTATCAAGCCATTTTGACCAAAAATAAACAGAAAAGTGAAGCAGTTGTCTGGTAGAAACAGCTTGCCAAGGCTTAGTCTCATGAAAGTTAGCTTTGGTCAGAACTGAATTTTTTGTTTTGTTCTCTTGAAAGTATTCACATGCATTCATATCTCAGGGAAACATTTCTGTATTTTCTGTAGGCATTTTCTTCCTTCTTTACCATTTGTTGTTTAGATTCTCTAATTTTCATTAGATACTCTAATGTTTTGGTTTTTTTTAAGGTAATCTAATTGGGCCAAGGAGTGAAGGCAATGCCCCTTGATCCTCTGTTGAATAAAGATCAAATTTAGGTCATAAAATCATCAAGTTATACTGCTTTTATTTATTCTAAAAAATTTCATTTATTTTAATTAATATTTGAAATATCAATTGTTTTAATGTCTTCCTTTCTCCCTAGCTGGGTAGAAAACTTCGGCCGAGAAGGTCTGGGTCTTCTGTTGGATGTTTTGGAAAGACTGGTTGAGACAAAGCAGTAAGGATAACTTTCTTTAAAATTGATAGTTTTTATTATTATGTATACAGCATTTAATTACAATAATATATTTTTTTAATCTAATCAGCCAGGACAAAGCTGTGAAGAAAAGCCAGCATAAGGTTATACAGTGTTTGAGAGCCTTCATGAATAATAAGGTATGGGATTTTCTTTAATCTGGAAGTTTGTTCTACTGCTGTTCAGTCTGATATTGTACACGATCAGTCAGTGTGTGTATAATTTGCAGAAGCAGAGGGTTGGTCAGCTGTGACTAGAAAAACTTCCACCACATCGATTTGCAGAAGCCTGCTTTCATAATGGTATAAACTTTTGATACTGATGTTTGCTTTCATTAAAAAATGAGTGACCTGTTTTGACCTTTCCCTCATTTAATTTTGTTTTTTTTTTTATTTGAAAGAGTTAAATATGATTTGAAATATATGCTCAAGGAAACTGTTGTCATATTGTACTGGACTTTCAATATTATCATTTGGTTTTCTTCCAACTCTCATTATAAGTATTTTTCTTCTGTTTAGTATGGATTGGAAAGAATTCTGGGAGAAGAGAGGAGCCTTTTGTTGCTGATCAAAGCAATTGATCCCAAGCAAACTAATATGATGACAGACATAGTCAAACTCCTTTCTGCAATGTGCATTGTTGGAGAAGAAAGCATGTAAGTACTGCGTTTAGCCAGATAAAGTAAGGTAATTTCGGGATGATTATATTATAATTGTGTTTAAATGAAAGGCTGAATTTTTCAACTAATGCTTGAAAGTAGTATCTGTACTGTGTTGTCATTTTTGAAAATACCTTTATCTGTAACTTTTTTAATGATTGTATTGGTAAGAATTTTCTTTTTTGGCATATGAATGAACTGGTTAGATGGAAGTAGTTTTGCAGACATTTTTTTCCTAGAAGTTTTTTAACATTACATTTAAGGTGTTTTAGCCATTGTAATCTGGTAGTCACTCTTTGGTTACATAAGTCTCCAAAGTAAACTATGCTTAAACCTTCTACATTTGTACCCTAAAATTGAAATAGGTGAATGTTCTGGCAGCATGACTCTTGATATGACAAATGAACAAGAAGGTTAAATATCTCTCCTGAGTGAAATGCTTTTATTTTTGTATAGCCTTGAAAAAATTTTGGAAGCTATAACAGCAGCAGCAGAGGAAAGAAACGTTGATAGATTCTCTCCTATCGTAGAAGGACTTCAGGATAACTCAGTTCAGCTGCAAGTAAGCAATTTTTTGCACCAATAGTCTTTACAACAAGCAAGTTTTATATATTATTATAGTTTTATATATTTTTATGTAGTTTTATATATATATAGTTTTATATATTTTTATATAGTTTTATATATTTTTCTGCATTACAAAAAGGGATACTGAAGAAGAAGAGATACTGTTTTAAATAAAGGTTCAATTTGGGAATATTTTTTAAAATGTAATCTTTGAAAATGCATTATTGGAAGATTCAGTCTTGAGAAACATAATGATGTTGTGGTTGAATTTGCTTTCTTCTGCTTACCCAAATCTTACAGATTTTTTGAATTAAAGTTATACTGCCTTTTAAAGTAAAGCATGAGTTATGTATTAAATGCAAAAGTATCTAATCTCTAATGACATTAGCTTGAAATTAAATATAAATATTCATAGAAAGCAAGAATTTTTAGCAGTGTTTAAAAAATAATTTTTAAATGAACATGAAATCTGTCTCTCATATCTACTTCTTCACTTTATTTGCCTTCACCCACAGCGAAAGCAAAGAACTTTTCACCTTATTTTCAGTTTGCTTCAGTTGAGATATAGAAATACAGAAAGATGCAAAGTTTTATAGTAAAATTGAGCAATCTTTATAAGTCATTATTCTATTAGTGAGAATAGTAACTCGTATTGATTTTCATGTAACTTGGGTGAATGAAAAATTTTTCGTACCATATTCTGAATTTTGCCACGATGGCAGGAGATAAATCTGCAGTTTGGAAGAAATGGTTGTATTACTCCACTGTCACCTTTTGTATTAAACAGTTGATGTCTGATAGTAAAAATTGCTTTTGCTTTCTCAGTCGTTTTAGTAGTCTAGATATCAAATTGTAATATAACTTGTTGAGTAACAAACTGCCTTTTTTTAGTCTCCAGTTTTGTAAAAATCACTACCAAAATACTTTGTTTTCTGAAGTGCGTTCTAGAATAAAAATTATGTCTGTGCTGAGCGTAGGTCAATGGAAGATTATATAAAAGATTAAAGGAAAGTGGATTACTTTGATTGGCGAAGAGATAGTTGACTTCCTTTTTTGAAAGGTTTTGTTTATAGGTATTGCCATTTTTCTTTCCCGTGTGAGAGCTGATGGCAAGTCATTTTTCAGAATCTTGTTGCCATAGCAAGAAATAGTTCCAGTGATGAGACAAATTCACTTTTGGGCAGTGGCTTTGTGGTCCTTTATATAAGGCTCTGCTTACAGTAAATGTGAGTGAAAAAGAGGGATTGAAGGAGGGAATGTGTGTCAGGAGGAAGTAGAGAAGGAACTTTGAGCCTCAGTTGTAGTTGGTCTGGAAAGGGACTGCACAGGGAAATTGTACATTGTAAGACAACAAATTTCCTTCCTGTGTTCTGAGGCTTTTGAACCTGCAGACCAGACACAAGTTTCTCACAGTAATGGGTTTCTACCTTTAGTGCTTTTGCAAGAATCTTAATGGTTCTTTAGCATTAGTTTTAAGTATGCAATCTGCTATATGTCTTTCTTCCTTTGGAATCTGTTTCATCTAGATTTCAGGGTGAATTATGTTTAAGTTAATACATCTCTGTTGAGTATAATTTTTGCTCAGTGTTTTAGAATCCTGGAGATAGCAGGCAGTAGGAATTTGGGAATTTGGTTGCTTTTTTTTGTTGTGGTCTGTTGGTTTTCGTGCATTTTTTTTCTTTTCTTTTTTTTTTCTGGATCTTTTTTTGTTTTGTTTATTTGTTTATTTTCATTCCTTTTGATTTTCAGAGTTGCATATATTCACATGTGGACCTGATTATAAAAAAAAAAAAGCTTTAAATCCTTTTTCTGTATAGTTTAAAAAGCACACCAAAACTGCAGTAAAAGCAGTCCTTAGTGTATCTGCTGCTTCATAGAAAATAAACGAGTACATATGATTAATTTAGCCAAGAATCATCTTTCACATTTTTTAGAAATTAATGCATAAAGACCTCTATAGTTCTGTAAGCATGTAAACAATTAATAGCTATTTTAGATCAACATTTGTGAATAAGCTTCAAATATTACAGTCCCTTGTGAACAGCTGTTGGTAAGCAGCCCGCTTGATAAATAGATAGATACCAATATGAATGGCAGTTGAGACAGTTGATGTACAGCATAAAAAATAGTTACAGCTGATTTTCTCTAAGCAGTTAGCTCTTTCTTATGAGTGCATTCATGCTTAGTATGTACAATGATGCTCAACTCCCTTAGTGAGGTAGCACTGATGAGATAACTGAATCAGTGCAGAAACTTCAGCTGGATTGTTAACTGTGCAGTAATCCTTATTTTTCTAGGACTACTCTTCTGATATTAAACAAATAATTTTCTCCTAATTACAGCATTGTAGAATTGTGTTGTTCCTTGTTTTGGGATTTGTTGTCCTCTGATACAGAGGAAAGCAGAATTTTTAAAACTGACAATTATATGTTACAATTAGAGTACTTAAATAATCTGGTAACTTACTTTGGATTTATTGAGGATTTCAAATTTTCTGCAAATAGCTAACATGTTCCATTTACTGTGTTTTCTGGTCATAGAAACTTAATGAAATTTCACGTTTTTTGGAGTTAAGCTTGCATTTGAACACTTTCATCTAAAAAGCTTTTTTCTTTTTCAGGCTGTAAAAATGCTAGCTAGGTTTGTTTATTATTTTTTTGCTTTTTTTTTTTTTTTTTTTTTGTAAGGCTTCTCATGTGAATCAATTGTAAACTTCTGTAACGATGACATTGACCTAGTGGTTAATTTGACAGTGTTTTAATGAGACAAAAGTTTACAGTTGTCAGTTACTTGGCATATTTGCCTTGATTATCTGCCTGATATGTATAGGCTTGCTTTGTAGCAAGTGAATTTGACACTAACAACTGACCTTTTCAATTTTAAGTTGACTAACATTTCTGTTGCTTGAAAGGTGAATTTATGAGAAGCCCTAGTATGTTAATTTTTGTATTTTCAGTGAAACCTCAATATATCTATTTTTTTATTGGCTGAAAACAAAGGATATTCTACTTTTGATCTTTCATAAGGATTATCAGCAAGTACAGCAAGAGTACTTGCATATTTTTGGTTCAAGATGGATTGGTGATCCTAGTTTGAGAAAAAAGCTACAGCCAGAAGTAATATTGAACTTACTGAGAAGTATTTTTATGTCAAAGTTCTTTCCTATTCATCATTAGCATCCCTCACAGTATTTATAAATCGACAGAGAATACCATTTCATCCTTCTTTTTTATCTAATAACATGGCCTATGATATTTTGGTTAGCTGAAACACTTGGCAGTTCTTGGCCATTTGGTCCTAATGAGATTCTTTCCATAAATGAGTAACTAATATGAGCAAAGCACATCTTATCTAAATGCAGAGACTGATAATATTATTTAAGATTCATGTAAATGTGCAAATGTACATTTGTGTGGACAAAACATTTCATTGCTAAGAATATTTTAGTATTAGCAGGGGGAAACAATTTAGGAAAATTAGTAAAGTACCAAAGCCAAATCTGTATCTGGTTAAGTATTAGGAAACAAAATTTAATTAAATCTATATTATCTTTTGTCCTTTCTACAACTGTTGATAAAAGTGAGAAAAATGAAGTTGAAAATCTTCCTGCATTTCTCTTATCTCAAGATGTGAAATAAGATGATGCTTAGCCACCTATTCAATATTAGTAATCATGTCTGTATGAGGAAAAGCTGCTGTGAGCTACTGAGTTGTCAACACTTTCCATGAGGAAAGTACCAGTTATGTTATCTTTGTGTTCAACTGAGAAGAATAACAGCATTCCTCAGAGAATGCAGAGAAAATCAGGATTCAAATTTCGAGCTGTAAGCTCTCACCTAATGGAATGTATCTATCTCATTGGTCTACTTTATTATAGAGGAAAACATTCAAATTGTTGCCATTCTAGGTGAACTCAGTGATCATCCATGCAAAGCTCTTCTCCCTGCCCAGGAAAGAGGGCTTAGAAATTACAGTCCTTGACATTGCAACAGAATTTTAGAAGGCCCATCAAAGAGTTGCATATTACTGTATATCTTTTAAGTATTAGAGCAAAACGTAGTTGGACTTATTCAGGCATCTTCTCAAGGTCTCAAGGTCTGCAGAATCTACAACTTTTGATGAATTGGCTGTAGCTGTAGACCATTTTTTCAAAAGGTATTGGTCACAATGAATTCTGACTTCTTAGGAAGTTAATTTACTTGTCTTCACTGAACTTCTTGCTAGTTCAGCAGAAGTACCTCTTCATTATTGAAGATGAGATGTCTTTTAGATGTGGACATGGCCTTGCCTCTTTTTGTCCATGACTGAAAAATTCAAAAGACTGTCAATCTCATTCAAGGTAATTGAGCGTAAAAGAATGCTGTTGTATTGTCAGTTTGGGCCCACTCATCTGAAGTGCAAGTAATGACTGATTTTTCTGTGTACCAAGAATTGACATTTATAGAGCTGTCAACTGGTGCATCACAGCATTTTCTTCAAGTACTTTGAGAATTGTCAAGGAACAGTTTTGCATTTGGGACTACATGTCCTTCAATTTTTGATTAGGAACAGAGAAGACAATAACTCATGAGTGGATACTGCTTGGAATTCTGCATGTACGGACAAATAATTGAAGAAAATTAATTATCTGTCTGAAAAGAATTGTCTGTAAGAATTACCTTTTTCTTCTGCAAGAGGTTCTTTCAGCTGTGTAGAAGATGTTTTCTCTTTGGTCTTACCCTTTATTTGCAGCATTTGGACAGAAGGACCTGAAAGGCCTGTTGATGCTTTCTTCTGATAAATACTGTGAACAGGCAGTGAATGTGTTAGGAAACAACTTATTTCAAATAAGTTTCCAATCTAACATAGCAGAAGTAAGCCATCTCAGGAATTTCTGGAATTTGAATTAATTAATTAATTGATTGATGAAATTTTTGGGAAGGAATTACCATATCTGTCATTTCAACTGTATTTCTTAATTAGTAATAGGGAGTAAACTCATCGTCTGACTACTGTTAGGTCTGAGGTCAATAGTAGTTTCTGGTAATTTAAGAATTATAAATATCAGTTGATATTTAAATTTGCAGAATTTTTAAAGCATACTGTTACACAGATTTAGCACTACTTTAAAATAGGTATGTCACAATCTGATATTTTCATCTTTAATTTAAAAAAACAAAACAAACAAAAAAAACAAAAAAAAGGCATTAGTTTTTATTTTTCTAATTCATTTTTGCAGTTGAGACTTCCTTCCTCCTAAGCAAAAAAAGAGGAAGATGAAAGTAGAATGTTAGTTATTCAAAATTGTAGGCCAAAAACAAACAAGCTTTCTTTAAAAAAAAAAAAAAAAAAGAAGAAAAGTTCTCAAATAAAGTAAGCCATTGAGCATTCTGGGTTACTTTCACAACACGTCAGATGTCTTTGTGTATTAGACAAATGTATGCAGTACTTGCAGATAAACACATTTCCTTCAGAGGTTCCCACTCTTTTGTGCTGGCATTTGGAAGCCAGGTGGGGTACACTGAATGTGTACTATATATTCGTGTTTAAGATTGTGAATTGGGTCTCTAGTTGGTAATGATGATGTATCCTAGAGTGCCCTAGTCGCTCCATTTGTGTTGTAAAGATCTATAGAATCAATCAGAGAACAGTGGGAGTTCAGCAGAGGAGTTTAACTACATGTGGCATTTGTCTGTGTATGGACATCTAAGTGTAGATATCTGAAGTTTCAACTGTGTTGTATTGGGAAACTCTAATAATAATTCTATAAGAATAATTTTATTTCTTGAGTTCTGTCTTGTGCTTATACCAAGCTTGCTGCTGTTTTATTGACGTATCTTCAAACAGAGTAAAAGAGTATTAATATATTTTATTCAAACTGTGAACTTCAGAACAGAAAAAACTGTCTTACTTCTTGAATCTTCCAATGGATTATTGCTTGAAACTGCCTATTGGCAAGCCGCTGTTCATCAAGCTATTCAACAAGTATGAGGGATATTTTTCTCTTTCTCTTGGTTTTGATATTTCTTCTTGAGATCTAACTTTCCCAAAAGCAAATTACTCAGAAGTAAATTTAAGTGAGGTATTTTTTGTAATTTGGGTTTGTTTCCTCTTGTATAACCTGCACTCTTTCTGCTTTTTGCAGACTTTTCTTTGAAGGCTGCAACAACTATTCTGAACAAGATTTTAAAGGTCATGACAGACAAATATTGGATACAAATATCTTGTTCAGTTTCCAAAAAAGCTTGATTATGCAACAGGAGAGTCTTAAGTTGTCTTCTGTTGGGTACTGTTAAAACAAATACTTGTAGATTTTATTCAAATCACATTGAGCACGTAAGGTTAACTTTTTTGTGTTATTGTGTGAAATTTTATTATTTTTTTTAAAGAAGCTTATAGTTTAATAAACTCTTTTCTTATCCTTATAAAAGATTTTGATATTTTACAAACTTTTTCTGTTTTGAAAATCAAACTTAGGCCAGTCAGAGCATTCTTGCCTGTTGCTTGAGCCTTCCAACAAGTCCCATGAGTCTGCGAGAAAGAATTTTGCTTCACAGAGCCATAGAATCATAGAATAGAATCATAGAATCACTCAGGGTGGAAAAGACTGTAAAGATCATCAAGTCCAACGATGACCTAACCGTACTACCCTAACTAACAACCCTCTGCTAAATCGTGTCCCTGAGCACTGCCTCCAAATGGATTTTAAACACATCCAGGGCTGGTGACTCAATCACCTTTCTGGGGAGCCCATTCCAGTACTTACAACCCTTTCTGTATAGAAGTTTTTCCTGATATCCAGCCTAAACTTACCCTGGCCATTTTCCCCTCATCCTGTCACCTGTCACCAGTGAGAAGAGACCAACCCCGCTCTTGCTGTAAGCACCTTTCAGATATTGGAAGAGGACAATAAGGTCTCCCCTCAGCCTCCATTTCCCCAGACTAAACAGACCCAGATCTTTCAGTTGCTCCTTGTAGGGCATATTCTCCAAGCCCTTCACAAGCCTTGTTGCCCTTCTTTGGACCTGCTCCAGCACTTCAATGTCCTTTCTGCACTGAGGTGCCCAAAACTGAACACAGTACTCGAGGTGAGGCCTCACCAATGCAGAGTACAGGCGCAGGATAACTTCCCTAGTCCTGCTCACCACACCATTCCTGGTACAAGCCAGGATGCCATTGGCCTTCTTGGTCACCTGGGCACACTGCTGGCTCATATTTAGCCAACTGTTCACCAGTACACCAAGGTCCCTTTCCATGCTACATTGTTGAGGGACATGGTTTAGTGGGAGCTATTGGGAATAGGTGAACGGTTGGACTGGTTGATCTTTTAGGTCTTTTCCAACCTTGGTGATTCCATGATTCTATGATTCTATGATTTATCCATATTATTCATTTCTTTATGTTGTAATTAGTCATACTATTCAATGAATTTGTTCTTTAGTTCTATTATATAATATATAATACAATATTTATATAATTCCACAGTAGAAGGATCAAGCTTACCAGGCTGTAGGTTTCCAGATCACCCCCAAAATATCCTTTGTCATTTTCCTGTTTGTCAGTGTACTTTTAAACATATATCCAGAAGCAAGTACTAAAAGAATTTTGGATTTTGTTCTGACCTGTTGGGTGAATCCTCTTTTATGACTTAATCGTTGGATTTGTTTTGGAAGTACTTCTGCCAAGCACTGAACCTGTGATAGATTCTGTCTTTCTCTAGTGTGGGAACTATTTTCATGCACATGTAGAACATCTGATGAAGTGTTGCTGAAGTTTGTTTTCTCTGGGTACTCCTTGTTTCTGTAATCTTTGCCTGTACCTACAGATCATATAAATTAAAAAAGAAAATACTGTTGTTATCTCAGCAGGCCTTTACCTGTGATTAATTATAATAATAATTTACTGTTGTTCTAAATGGCTGTGATTCTGGAAAGTTAATTCCTGTTCCTGTGAGCTATGGGTTTTTCTAATATATCTCTCCATTCTTTGGAAAAGACACGACTTGCTAGTTGACAATAGAAATCAGTTTGCCTGTTGCTTGCTGTTGATCTGAAAAACTGCTTCCCATGAAGCTGAGTACATTGAAAGAGGGAAGATTTTAGCAGAGAAGGAAAAATAATTAAACCATTCTGTTCTTTAGATTCACTTTACTTTAAAATCGGTGTTATGTCTTCTAATACTTTTTTCACTGCATACACAGACATTAGCCTTCACAGTTTTCTGTTGTGTCACTATGTATACATATATGTGTAAAAATTTATATTTATACTATTTTTTATATGTTGAGAATTATACTAATCAAGACATCTGTGGCAAATGGACTTAATTGTAAAAATGGCAACTTCAAAAGAGTGAGAAAATATTTGATTTTTGTGGAATTTTGTAAACTTGTTTATGGTATCCCTAGCTTGTGGCTGACTGGAGATCTGAGTATCTTAATTACATGATTGTAATGGATTGATGGCATGCTACTAGTAGTTTGATTTGTCTTTTTTTCTTTATGAACACCGAAAACTGAGAAATAACACTATGTTGTTTTTCCTCTGTCGTAGGTAGCTTGCATGCAACTCATCAATGCTCTTGTTACATCTCCTGATGATTTGGATTTTAGGCTTCACATCAGAAATGAATTTATCCGCAGTGGATTGAAAGAGATACTGCCAGTAAGCACGTTGTCGTCTGTCTTTGTATTGCTATTAAAATTGCTGGACTGTTTGAGTCTGAGAGGAGAAACGGAGAACAAGTTCTAATACATTATTCTCAAGGGCATTTTATTAGGTTAGAGCCTAAGCAGTTAGATATTAGAATCAATCTTAAAATAAGAATGAAAAGGTGAAGTGTGCTCTCTTAAGCGTATGCTGAATCCTTAATCTTTTATAGCTTTGATTTAGAACAGGCAGCAGAATGTAATGCAGCCACTAGTGAAGCCAATTGAAGCCCTGTTTACCTTTTGCATATTAAAATTATACATATTACACTTAACTCATTTTATACTTTGAAATAATGTAGATTCAAGGAAGTCACTAAAAAGGTAAGGCTTATTTCCTTATGGAAATGCTAAATTTGCCAATCTTTCTACTGTTTCTTCCTTGCAGCAATTGAAATGTATTAAAAATGAAGCACTAGATATTCAGCTGAAGGTATTCAATGAGCACAAGGAAGAAGACATGATTGAATTCTCTCATCGTTTAGAAGATATTAGATCTGAACTAGAATATCCTTTTGATATTGGCAAGAGAAACATGAACAAAAGAATATGTATAATAAAAATTTTTCTATGTAGCTTTAGTTTAAAACAACATTTTGACTGAACATTTGACTGAAATGTTTTTTACTGTTTGATGTTCTCCTTAACTCTTTTACTGAAGTAAATGATGTTTACAACATGGTATGGAATACAGTTAAGGACACTAGTGCCGAAGGATATTTTCTTTCTATTCTCCAACATCTTTTGCTAATAAGAAATGATTATTTTATACGGTATGTTTAATGTTATATTGTATATTAAGTTATAATATATATGTGTTATAGTGTATATTAAGTGTTAGTTATCAATTGTTGCTTAATCATTAATAGAGTGTCTTCTACCACTTTATGAAATACATTTTAGTATTTTTATGAACTAAATGCAGTTTGCAATTATTGCCTTGTGAATTCATATTTTGAAGTATCATGAGAAAGAATGAATAAGAATGTTGTCTGTATGTTTTTTCCTCTTCTGCTTGGGATCCAACTCCATATATAAACAGAGAATACTGGTTTTATTGAGATTTGAAGCTTGTTTCCTGCAAGTATAAGTGATCAGGACAGATCTCTTAATGCTACTAATGTGGTTTATAGACAGTTGTAATTGTGTCATGTATTTGAAACAAAAACAAAAACAATAATGCTCAGAAGTGTACTTTGTGTGTAGATCTCGACTTATTAAATTAAGGGTGCTTGCCTGACTTGGGTACATCTGTGCTAGACCTCTTCCACTGGAGTGATTTTGAAGTGACAGCTTGCACGTTCTGGTCAAGTGGTCCAGCTGTGATACCAGTTGGCATTTTAGAATTGTTTTTCTTCTGTTTTAATAAAGCAGGGCCTGGGTATTTCCATAGTGAAAAGTCATAAAAGCAGAAGGAATTAGCTGAAGGAAGAGCCTTCTTTCTATTGGAAGGAAGCAGGAAGGAGTCCTGCCTTTTTTGTAGTTCCACATGGAAAAAGTTGCAGATTTTATGATACAAAATATTTCCTGTTTATATGTGCTGGTTTTTCAGGCTTTGTGTAACTGTTCTGATGAAATAAACTGCCAAATATATTTGTCTTGTGAAGGTTTTGGGTTTTGCATTTATCCTTCTTTGGAAATAAGTCAATCCAAATCTTTTGACATTACTGTATTCAGAAGGAGGATTTTAAATATATGTTAATAAATAAATGTGCCTCTTTCTTTAGTCCACAGTATTTCAAATTAATTGAAGAGTGCGTGTCCCAGATAGTGTTACATCGCAGTGGAACAGACCCAGATTTCTCTTATCGAAAAAGACTAGATATAAATTTCAGCCACTTAGTAGGTAAGTCTCATGCTGGAAAATATTTACAGTATTGTACTTTTTTTCAAAACACGGAGTGATGCATGTGATTAAGAATATTATTTTCCTTGCATATTTACAAGTGTGTATTTGCATATTTTTTTCAGATATTTGTGTAGATAAAGCAAGATTAGAAGAATGTGAAGAGCGGGCTTCTGAGCTTTCCAGGAAGGTGCCTAATAATTTGAAGTTATGATCGTAAGATGGATATAGGAAATTGCATAACAGACTCATGAGTAATGCAATTGAAAGTGGCATAGCTTTTAACTTCAAGTTACTGCTATTACTTATGTTGAAGTGGGAATTTGAATATTTCTTGTGGTCTGGGAAGTAGAGAAGTGTTATAAAATAATTAACCTTAACTGAGTCTTTCTACTGCTTACTGTAAGGTACAAGTCACCCCAAAATCACCTGAAAGATTCATATGAACAGCTATCTATTGAAAAAGATGAACAGAGTAATAATAAGAGTTGTCTTGTTCGTGTGTACAGATTCCATCTTACCATTCTTCACCATTTTTTACTTTTTTTTCTTAACTTAAGAAACACAGAAGTGAGAATCCTAGAAAGTATGTGGACATGACTATTCTTAAAATTGTTTTTTCTCTCTTGCTTTCTTTTATTTCCTTAGTTTGAGAAAGATTTTGTAGCTCATCAAGAGACCCAGGCCCTACTGCAAAAAAAAGAAGAAAGAATCAATGCACTTGAAGCAGAATTACAAGCTTTTAAATCTCAGGTATAGGACAGTTTAATAAATATAGAAAGTATTCTTTTTGGAATAGATTTCATTTGATTTTCTTGCAGATTCTGATAGAGTGATTGAAGATAATTCAAAGAATCCTGTTATTGATTTTCTGTTAGCTTACTTTATTTCTGTTTTATAGCAAGAATTGTAGTGTGACATTACTGGCCTACGTGAGATCCCAGTTGATCCTTTTTGTGCCTGAGTTCTGTTAATTAAACTAGTTTCCTACATTTCATTTGGATTTTACTTTCAGTGTCATATATTTCCAAAGTAATTAACCACATAGGGTAATAAGTCCTATGCTTTTAGATTAGCATTCATCACTGTGATCTTTATCCCTCCACAGGAAATTATTCATTGTGCAGTTTGATTTTCTGAAACCTTACCATGAATATCCAACAGTGAAAGAATACCTGTGATTAGATAAGAAGATTTGCTGATAATTTTCAAATTTCAAGCATATATAGTGCAGACTTTTTGAGTGATGCTTGAGTTAACCTTTAACTACTTCACTCTAAAATCTATATAAGGAAACTGTGTGAGCAAGTGACTTTCCTGTGTCTAATTTTTAGGAGTAAGGTTCAATATAAAAACGACTAAAGTAAGATAACATTGAGATGACATGCATGTAGAAAGATATTGAAATATATGCTTTCATCATAAAGCTTTTTATGGTTCTGAGCTTGTTTAATTTTTTTAGTGAGGAAAATTAGTTCATCTATTCTTTGATTGGTTGAAAATATAATTTTGATTCAGGTTTCTGGTCAGAATTCACTTCTAATATATATTTTTTTTCACAGCGTGCAGTCAGTGAGCATAATTTATGCTTACACTCACAGATTATCATACCATGAACTATCTCACTGTTAATGCTACTTGAAATGCTTCCTACATATCAAGTAATTGATTCATTCAATTTAGTACTATTACTCTTATGTCCATCCTAAGAGGAATCTTTGGTTTCCATATGGCATCTACCTGTTACAGCTTTCTTTCTCCTGGTCTTGTTCCTCATTTTCACTTTATTAGTATTTGGAGCTTTTTAGTATTCAGTTTGTTTCATCTTTAGAACTTATATTTCAGTGACTGTATCAGTGTAAAGAATGCTTCTTTCAAGCATTTGAAAACAGTAAAACTGTCCCGCATTTATTTAATTATATCTATTGATTTTCAGCTATTTCTTTAAAAAAAATAGTTTGATCTTTCCTTATTGTGTTTCCCCTCTAAGTTTGAAAACTAAAATGAACAGTACCAGTTGATAATGATAAGTTGAAAGAAGTTGATTAGCACTATGACCAGTAGATAGATAATATGTATTCTTTTGTTCTTTCTGTTGGTTACCTCTTTAACAGTGCTTAAAGCCCAAGGATAGAATTTCTTAACATAGCACAACAAAAGATCCTTTTTTTTTTTAAATTGAAGTTCTAAAAGGAAAAGCCCGTCTTCATATAGATGTCCTCACTGCACTGAATATTAAGTAGGTGTTATCTTACAAATTGTTGTTGCAGTTGTAAACACTGCTTCAGTAAGTACTGTATAATATTGTGCTGTTGCTACTTCTGTCCACCTACAGTATGGTAATGTTTCCGACTTTTATCAAAAAGAGTGGCTTCCAGTTATATATATCTGCAAATGTAATGCAGCTGTATTTTTTGGAAGGAGTTTTTTTCTTTCTGCCTTCAATCCTGCAGAATGGAAATGCTCCCGAATTAGACAATTTTCAACAGAATTTCTAACTTTGTCATATTCTGAAATCAAATTTTAGGAATAGTTCTCCGTAATCTGTCGGATAAGTAAGAATGCAAGAACTGTTTTTAAATTTGGGTTAAAGTAATAGTCTAGATAAAATTTCATCAAGGCATGTATTATACACTCCGTAGGTCATGATCACTGAAATGCGATGAGGGGATATAGAATTTCAGTTTGTGATTTTTGGCGTTGTCTGAGTGTCTGTTTCAAATATTGAGACTTCCAGTTACGAGATGAAATCTGTGTTGGGTTTATTATAATACATATTTGAGTGTCCTATGTACAGAAAATATCATGCCATCTTAATTTGTTGACTGTAAAAGTGATGGCATTTTGTTACTAAAAATATGAAACTGAATATTTTCCTTGTCAGTATGGCTCCTTGCCACCTGGATTTCTACCATCAACATCTGGAGATGCATCTGCCATTCCACTGGAAGCTGCAGAACCACATCAGATGCCTCCTCCTCCTCCACCACTGCCTTCTAATGGAGCAATCCCACCACCACCACCGCCTCCCCCTCCTCCTCCACTTTTGAATGGCTTGGGATTTGCTGCAGGAATTGGTGCTCCTCCACCACCACCACCTCCACCAGGCCTGCCTGGGGTACAGTGGTCTCCACCTTCATGTGCTCTGCCATTTGGGCTGAAGCCTAAAAAAGAATTTAGACCAGAGGTTACCATGAAAAGGCTCAACTGGTCTAAGGTAGTATGATGAATGGCAAATACCTGCTCTAAAATCGTACATAGAGATTAAATAGATTGTTAGGAATAAGACGTTATAGGTAAATCAGCTAAATTTATGTTAGATATGCATACTTTTTGCCTTTATTTTTTTCTCTTTCCTGAAAATTGTGTTCCATTCACCCCTGAAGCTTCTGAGAAAATATCTGGAAAATATAATTCTGGGCTGAAGTAATAGAACCTTCATAGCAGCATGCTTTCTGGATCCTGCTGTGCCTTGTCTTTTAGTGGACTGTTTTCACTGTATCAATCACTGCACTGTACTGTTAGCTATATAGTTTCCAGACAAGTATTTTGCCTCTGTCATTCTGTGGGAGAACCATTGCAAGTGTTTGTATTTGTCCTCAGTATAAGTGTACTTAGATAAATTTAACAGTTGCAAATATATATTCTGTATAGTTCTTTCCTCTGTGACAGGATCAAGTACGCCAGGACTATTGATATATTGTATTTTAGAAAATAGTCAGTTAGACCAAAACAAAAACTTTCAGAGTTTTATGAGGCAATATAATATAACCAGCTGTTATTTAAAATAATACCATTTAAAATAACCAGCTGTGTTCAGAGACCAAAGTTCACCAAAGTTTCATAATCTAAATAAAATACCAAGTACAGTTTGCTATATGTAGACCTTGAGTAACAAATATGCTGTCAGTACTGCTTCATATTGTTTGTCCAAAAGCACTTGAATCGTAAACATTTTAACAACTATAAAATTAGGGGAAAACTTTGTGTTTTACGTAGCCCTTAAGTATTTCATCGGTTTTGGAATCTACAAAGGTTACTCTTTCCATAGTTTAAAAACCATTAATTAAATTTTTGTTTTTCTCTCTTAAAGATCAGGCCTCAGGAAATGACAGAGTCCTGTTTTTGGGTTAAGGCAGAAGAGGACAAGTATGAGAATGCTGACATGCTTTGCAAACTGGAACTTACATTTTGTTGTCAGAAGAGGGGTAAGTAATTGATACCTACAATTTTCAGCTTTTGGAGTTACCTTTTAGAAAATTGGGTCTTAAATAACTGTATACACTGTTAAACATATACTGTTCTATACATCAATGTTATGTTTTTAAAGTGGAGTGTGTGATGAAAGAAATTTGAAAAACATGCAACTATTTTACTTTAAGGATGGCAAGGAGATTTGTGACTCTTAACATGTCAAAAACTGAGAAGTGTTTCCTGATAATACAGACATTTGAAAAATTCTTTATTAAGTTTTGTCAGAGTATATCTTAATAAAATACACTAATACAGTGACACAAGAAGGTGATATGTTTACTCTCAGAGTGTATACATTAATTGATGTGTTTTGGTTGAAGGACAATAGTTTTTAAGTGAAGTTCTTCTCGCAAACCTATGGCAACCTTGATGTCTTTTGACATTTTGCTTAGTTTCTTTAACTTTCAAAGCCTGTGGAAGAGCAAACTCTGCAAGTATTTTTTGACTTTTCTGCCTTTCTGGAAATAAGTTTTTTTTACTAGCTATTGCAACATTATTTATCCAATACATAAATTACTTACTGTTACTTCTTGACACTTTTTAATGCTCCTTGTCAGAGATTGTATCTCTAGTGTCAGAGATTGAGTACTTTGGGGCAGGTAAAGGAGCACAAATAATTAGTTTGTTTTCAAATTGAAAAGGCATTGTTTAATTTTTAGTTTCTTTCACATTTTTCATCGCAATATATTTATTTAATATAACATACAGCGTTATTTAGAAACCTCCAGGTTTTTATTTGTTTTGTTTGTTTGTTTTGCTGAGCTTTTGTCAGAGCAGGCTTTCGATGCTTAAGGTGATGTAGTATTTCTAATGAGTTGAGTTGCAATTTATTAATGATGATCCTTAAGAATATTTAAAATGTTGTGCAAAGATAAAAAAAAGGCAAGAAAGCCTCATAGATGATAGATTCTTAGACTATTAGAATAAGTCTAAAGATAACTGTGGTGCTTTCATAATGTTAGGAGAATTCCCAGTTGAATCCCTTTGAATTAATAAGTTAGAAGGTTTAAAAACCATTGGAGGAAATACTGTTTCCCATGTAATTAAACAATAAAATTTGGGAGGCTGAATGATGTTCGGACCAAACGTTGAAGGCTCAGAGGAGGATTGTGAACCTCCGTAGACAGCAAGAACATCAGAGTTAACAAGGTTATATCCTTTAAAAGTTTAACTGAATAGACTGAATACATTGTTTTGGCAAAACCTAATAGAGAAGAATTACTGGATCCAGCTGAAAAAATGAGTGAAATACATTGTTACACCAAATAGTGTAGTAAATGGTGGGTAAAAAGTCTTCAGGGATGAATGTACATTTTTTTCTAGAGATTGTGTTCACTGCTTTATTTTAAAAAAAAATCTTTTTTTTTTTTACTTTTTGAAATCTTTCACTTGAATAATGTGTGCCCTCATTTTTTTTTTTCCCAAAGGAAAAGGAGACTAAAGATTATATTTAGAGCATTAGGTAGATATTGAAAGGGTGATGTGCAACTAACTTTCAGCTTTGTTCAAATAACTGGTTCACAAAAGTTTGCATGAATACTTAAACTCTAAGTAAACAGCGCTGAGTATCTCAGTATCTCTTGCTAACAACATTAATCCTAGTTCAGAGTTACAGTAACTACTTTTATTTTCTTGGATGTAGGAAGAAGGGATGCTTCTCTATAGCTCATACAAAACTTACATGACAACACTTGTCAAAAAAATTGGAGACCTACATTTTTCTGCACCACTAGTCTTAAAGAGGTTTATAACTGTGCTTAATAATGTAGCGTCATCAAATCATATTCAATTTGGAAACAGTGTGACTATTTCTAAAACTTTGTCTCCGAAACCAAAAAGACAAGTAGAAAATGATTCTATATCGAGTTCATGCCATGCAAAGAATGAGCTGGTTTCTGTTGAAGCAACTGCTTATGTGTTCTTTTCATCGAAGTCAGTTGTGTAATAAGGGACCAGAATGTTCAGTGATGCTTTAAATGCTTTTTATTGTAATTATGTAAAATCAAATTGAAGTACTCAGATGGTCAGTTACTACTTTTTACCAGCTGGTGTACCCAAAGTAAATATTTCATTCTTGATCCATGTATAAAATCCACTGAAAAATGTCTCTGTTTAAAAGGAATAGAGAATAATCATAGAATGGTTTGGATTGGAAGTTCCCATTCAGTTCCAACCCCCTGCCACCATGTAAGGCTGCCCACTCACCCACCCACTATAGAAAGCTGCCCAAGTGCCCCATCCAGCCTGGCCTTGGACACCTTCATGGATGGGGCATCCACAACAATAATATAGAAAAGATTTGAAGCCACAGCAGATATTTGTATCAAAGTTATAAATGATGTTGATTCTGAATGAAAGCAGTTGAAATAATTGAAGATGTAATGCAGTCATGAAAGAAACATTACTGTGAGTGTAAAAATGTAAAGGAAGGGTCTAGCTTCTAACTGTTGGAAAAATATTGAGTAATAACATGGAGCAAAGATCATATGTGGGGAAAAAATCACTTTTATTTGAGGATGTCAGGAGAGTCAAAGACATACTCAAATAATGGAGTTTTGTAGTTTTGAAGGGATGCAAATCCAACTCGTCCAACTATCTTTTTAAAGTAGGGTCAGTGTAATTAATGTTGCTTGAGGCTTTGTCCAGCTGAGTTCTAGATAATCCTAAAGAGTTAGAAAGTACGGCTATGATGCTAGGCAATGTTTTTCAGTGTTTATCATCACTATGGTGAATTTTTTTTTTTCTGTAACATCTTGTTGCAGTATTTGTTGTTGAACCTTTTGTCTGTTGCTCCTTATTTATAGTACATCTCTGAGAAGAATCTGTTTACCTCTTATTGTAGCCTCTTGTTAGATAGTTGGAGAGAGTAGCAGGAATCCCATCTTTTCTACAAACTGTTACAGTTCTCAAGCCTTTTCTCTTCGTCATGTTTCAGCCCTCTCATCGTCTTGGTGGCCTTCCACTTTACTCATTCCAATATATCTCTGTTTCTCTTGAAGTGGTGAGTGCAAAACTGAGCAAGTGCTCCAGATACTTCTCCCTGGGAGAGAAGAAAGTAGAGTGAAATAATCACTTCTTGGACCTGCTGATTACAGTCTTAGTAACTTACTGAAGGAAACGTTTTCACTGTGTCGCTTGTTTGATAAGAATAATTCATAATAACTCAAAGCTATGGGTGGCATATTTTTTCCTCGTTTATTTGTTATAAGAGTACAGTTATCATTTTTGTCACTTTCCAGAAATTAAGTCATTCTGTGAAAGCAACGTGTGTTACAAAAATTACATATTTAAGCAGGAACAATGAGAACTAGCAAAGCAGCAGTTGCTGATTCTATTCTTGTAGGCAAGCTATGAAAAACAAAGTGCAGTTTATTTATCAAAAAGCTCATTTTCTGAACTCAAAATTAATTTGCAGTCTTAAAGGAATAAGATTATATATATATGAAAGAAGTAGGCAAGGACAAAATAGCAGGCCAACTCCTTTAATATGTAAAGTCATATAGATTTCCTGTAATACAGGGAATGTGGGAGGACGCAGAATCCACACAGGTCCAGAATCATAAAGTACTTATTAGCATGTGGATGAAATATTTTCACTATGAATGCTTGAGAAAATATTAAATTAATGACTGAAAAGCATGCATATGTTTGATATTTGCAAGAAAGCGTGCTTATTCTGATTTTATTCTGAGATGCCCCAAGAATATTAAAAGCTCCTGGAACCTTCCAATCATTAGTTTTCTATCAGTAGCTAAAAGAATAGAAGTAGGGAATGAAATTACTGCCCTAGAGACATCAGTGTGGAAGTATGCAATGGCCCCTTACCTCACTGGCTGTTAAAAAAAAGTGAAGAAAAGAGAGGAAATTGACAATGGGGAAAAAAAAAAAAGCAACTGAGAAATTAAAGAAAGAAATCTGAAAATAAATTGAATGTGAATTCTTTGCATGTATCTTCTTTGACAATCTCATAATTCTTCTCTTTAAAAGGCAAAACGAAGCATATGATATGATAGATAGTCTGAGATTTGAAAGAGAAACCGTAAGAAATATCAAGTATGTGAGATCTATCAGATTTATGCTCATGGTTGTGTATCAGTAAAGAAGATCTGAAAAGTCTTTCTGGCAACACTGGTATCAAAGCAATCACTTAATATAATTCTTTGGAAGCATTAAACCAAATAGATGACTTAAATCTGACTGATGCATGAAAAACTGAGCAGTGCAACAGGAGCAAACCTTATGTATACTTCTGAATTATCAAAAGCCTAAAACGTAAGATGAACAAACAAAAATTGGATCAAATGACAACCCCTTTATACTAAGACTGCTCTGAAAGTAATGCCTCCTATTTTATTTTGTTGGCCCACAATGTCAGAGGCAGATGCTGTTGGTATGGCTGTAGAGGTTAAACTTTCCCACTAACATTCCATTACATTTTGCTGCTGTGCAACAGGTGGCAGCAAGGATCAGTCTAACAAAATGGCATCTGACGAAAAAGCATCTGACATGGAGGTTAATATGAAGAAAAGCTGTGTAATTGAGTTCCTCAATGTAGAAAAAATTATACTCATTGATATTCATCGATACTTTGTTGGATGTGTATGGAGACCAAACCGTGGATCTTATCAAGGGTGGTGCATTTCAGAGACAGTGGGATCATCTTTGCTGGTGCAGATGTTGATGAGTGCATAGAATTATAGAATGGTTTGGATTGGAAGAGATTGTGAGAGTATGTTGCTGTGGAAAGCTGCAAATTTGGTAGCAGTGAAGTGGGAGATTCGACTACCTATGTATGGACTTGCATCAATTACTCATCAGGACATTGCAAGAAAATGACTGTTTCTGGTATTCTGTAACCAAAGCCAAACAAAGCTGTTTTCAGAGTGGTCTAGAATTGTACAAAGGAGGTAGGAGGAGAGAATGATCATAATTTTAGTGGATCAGGAAAGAACAA